TATATTTTATTATTATTTTAGTTTAAAGTGTAGGAAAATAAACGAAAACCATTATTATTAAGGAGTTACCAAAAGTAAAATAAATCACAAATAATAAAAAATATATGTATATTAAGGATCTTCTCAATCTTATAACATACGTGACAAACACAATATGTCGGGCAAAGGTCTGTACGTCTAGAACATGATGTCTAGGAGGACAAGGAGGAGGCCACACATCCACGGAGGAAACTCTAATCCAGGCAAATTCGAACCTAAGTCCCTGAAAGACACACAGGAGGAATATCAAGACATAAAGGGGAAAAATATAATAAAACCTACCTTGGATTCGGGAACCCTGCGATGCAGTAGCCGCAAAATCCTCTTTCTCATAAACTTGTCTAGAGGAATGGGAGAAGAAAAAATAAAGAAAAAAATAAAAATAAAAAAAAAATAAAAAAAAAATAAAAAAAATAAATAATAATACAAAGATGAACGAAACTTAGACTCACCATTCATGTTCAAAGCAAACAACAAAAAATTGACGACCTACTTACGCATAAATCAATAATTTTCGCAAAAAACGCTTACAAGGCTTATATTTTACAGCAAATCGTTAGGCAGTGGCAGCAACAAAAAAATCAACCAGGGGCGGAACAAGGATCAAGGGACCGCAAACATCAGATAACAACAGTCCGCAAGCCACCACGTCTGCCAGCAAACAAGTGCTACAGCCGACAAAACCACTACAACTGTCCACAACCAAGGTGAACAGTCCGCAAACCACCACGTCTGCCAGCAAACAACTGCTACAGCCGACAAAACCACTACAAGTGTCCACAACCAAGGCGAACAATCCGAGAGTGGAACAGCCGACAAAAGCACCACGACAGTCGACGAAGCACTATCCACGCAGAAGTAGGCACAAAACCATACCAAGCACACACGTGAATTCTAGCACATTTTCCAGAACAATACCCTACATGAAGTATATGGAACATAAGAAGATAGTACAGCCATAACAGACCACCCAGACGAAGACAACGATCCGAACGAAATAGAAGCTCTAATTTTAAGTTTTTGAATTGTAAACCCGTATGATGTTCTTCCGTTGGCATTGGGGACCAATGCTTTCACGGGAGGGGCAAAGGTCAACTCATAAACGTACACAAGCCCACGCATTACATAAATTAAGTAAATTTCCAAAGGAGGTCACCCCGGACTATAAAAAACAGACCGATTTTGCTTATGCCAGCAATAATTTCAATATAAATTCACGCACTGCGGCAATGCAAGGCAAGGTTGGTCTGGACTGCTTTATGCCTGATAAGGTACGAGCCTAAAGACCTGCCTTCTTAGCTGGGTACGACTAGGTATAGTCGAGACTGTGAAACTTTTGGATGAAGGTCTCGTCTATAGCGGCCGGGCCGTGTCACAGCGTCCCCAAGTTTAGACCTACGAGAACTATGCCCTTAGGGGGCCCGTTCTTTTAGTGCATCTTGGGTTTCATTAAACATTAAACATTCTTACATTTCGAGTTGACAATCAAAAACATGGTCCACCAGGGACGAACATCTGCGGTGTTAGGATTTTGGTAAATCTTCTTGAACTATAAGGTGTAATTAAGGTTTAGTTATAAAACAAATGTAATATTCGTGATGGTATTCCTTCCCCCCATATCCTCTCTTTTCAGATAAACCCTTAGTGGACGCAGCCAAGCAAAGTAAAAGTGGTGGCACCGCTGACCACAACCAACTTAAGCGTGACAAATGGTGGAGTCGCCGGGCAGAACCAGGTGTTGATCTTCATATCGGGCACCTAAGAACCAAAGACGAAGAAACCCCAACTAAAATGATTTTATCCTCATCCCCTTACTACCACGAAAAAATAAACATCCCATATTAAGTTGCGACACCTTTGATAATAAATGTTTTGGTATTACTTGTGTTCCATTCCAAGCGCACCTCGGAGCGCACCCACAAAAACATTTTATCTAGGTTCCTGAATTTTTGTAACCAGGGATAAGACTTTTTTTGTTATAATTAATTATGGCGTTTCCAATTGTCATTATTTGTCATTATTATTCTTGAACTTTGTCACAACTTTGTCAAATCGTTAACACACGTTCACAGTCCATTTTTATCGAGATCTTTATCAGAATAAAATCGTTTTTGTCAAACCTAGTTGTTTGACTGGTCCTTCGAAAATCGAAATCATCGAAAACCCCAACATTTTGGTCCCATCGAGCGGATTCAGAACGAAGTATCCTGTGGAAAAACCAACCAACCAACTTAAGCGTGACGATATTCAGTTTTTTGTTTTTTTTTCTAACTCGGACTTCGTGTCTTGCCACGAAATTAAATGGAGGTTGAAAATGGTGTTCAAATAGTATCCTAATAATTTCATGGCAAAACTGGACGTCTGTGTTGCTAATTATGCTTCAATTAATTATTATACAAGGTGTCCTCGTTCAACTGGTCAAAAAATGCTAGGATAGAGGAACCATAGAGAAGTAGTTTAAGATAGGACACTGGTGGTCGGAAGTACATCGTTCCCAAAATACAGGGTGTTTTACGTAAAAAACGTTGGAGAATCGATTTTTTCAATATTCAAATCGATGCAGCAAACTGGAAAAAACTTTTGATAATTTAAGTTCGATATCCGTAGGTGGCGCGGTGGCGCTCCCTAGTAGTGATATCAAAACCGTATTTGCATGTATTTCTCGCCCTAACAAACCCCTCGATACGGACTTTCGCATCGCTGTGTCGTTTTATTGAGGAATAATTCACAAAAATCGTCCTATCTCAATTTTCATGAAAATTCGAGGACTGTCACCTGTTCGCGTTGTAGGTCGAATATCCAGACACCCTGTATATAAGAACTGTATCATCAGCGAAATTTTAGTATTCCATGCATGCAAGCCCGCCAGGCGCAAACTCAAAACAAAGGACCTAAACCTAACACAGAGCCCTGTGGCACTTCACAATAGTTTTTTTTTTGATTTTGATCCAGACTTAAATATTGTTTTTTTTTTTGCATATTTCAATGGGGTATGAGTCAATGGGATTTTGCATGGGGGTTGGAAGTGGTGTTAGAATAGTACCTATTAATTTCATGGCAAGACTCGAAGTCTGAGTTGGAAAAAAATACTAAAATCTCCATATTTATGAATTTTTTTTTTCCAGCAGTAGTTTTTGATATTTCGACGGGGTTTGAGTCAATGGGATTTTGCATGGAAGTTGAAAGTGGTGTTAGAATAGTACCCTATCAATTTTATAGCAAGAATCGAAGTCCCAGTTTGAAAAACATACGAAAATCTGAATATTTATGCATTTTTACTTGTTGAGAGTAGTTTTTCCTACTTCGACAGGGTTTGAGTCAATGGGATTTTGCATGTAGGTAGGAAATGGTGTTAGAATAGCACCCTATCAATTTCATGGCAAGACTCGAAGTCCGAGTTGGAAAAACATACAAAAAATCTGAATATTTATGCATTTTTACTTGTTGAGGGTAGTTTTTCCTACTTCGACAGGGTTTGAGTCAATGGGATTTTGCATGGAGGTTGGAAATGGTCTTAGAATAGTACCCTATTAATTTCATAGCAAGACTCGAAGTCCGAGTTAGAAAAACATACGAAAATCTGAATATTTATGCATATTCACTTGTTTTTCATATTTCGACAAAGTTTGAGTCAATGGTTTTTTTTTTTTGCATGGGGGATGGAAATGTTAGAATAGTAACCTATTAATTTCATGGCAAGACTCGAAGTCCGAGTTAGGAACAAATACAAAAATCTCAATATTTAGGCTTTTTATTTGTCGAGGGTTGTTTCTCATATTCCGACAGGGTTTGAGTCGATGGGATTTTGCATAGGGGTTGGAAATGTTAGAATAGTACCCTATTAATTTCATTGTAAGACTCGAAGTCCAAGTTGGAACAAAATACAGAAATCGCAATATCTATATCCATTTTTATTTGTTAAGGGTAGTTTTTCATATTTTGAAGGGGTTCGAGTCAGTGGGATTTTGCATAGGGGTTGTTTAAGGTGTTGAAATAGTGCTCTATCAAGTTCATGCCTAGACTCGATGTCTTAGTATAATTTATTCAATTTATTTTGAATTTAAAAAAAATTCTACGCCAATGGTCTTTCGGGTGTTTCAGTCAAATTAAAGTCTGTTTTTTTTAAAGATAATTCCCCAAGTCAAAAATTTAGTAACTATGTTGGCAACACAAGCCTTTTTTACATAAAAATTTGAAAGCATTGACAATTTTTCATTGTATTGCCAACCTATTTAATGTTATTTTGACGTTTATCTTTAAAAAAAACAGACGTTAGCTGCCAAGTTTTAGCTGCTAGTGTTAACTTCACACCGGTAGGCAAAAACTGTCCCAGTGTCATTTTTGGAACATTTTCAATCTTCAATTAATTCAATTTCAAAGCTTCTGAGGTGCAAAATTGTTGAAACAAATATATCGGGTCTGCTTTGATTGCTTTAACTACGAAAACGTACGTCGCATTACTGTTTCTTTATTCGTCAGGATTTTTGACAAGACATTTTGACATTAAATTTCATTGACAAAATTAAAGACAAATATTGCTAAGACATACGTTTAAAAAACCATAGCAATCTTTGATTGGTTTTTTTTTTGAAGACCCGATACAATTTTGTCTAGTTAAGTAGTGAACTCAAAAACGAAAAAACTATCACAATAACCTCCAAAAACCAAAAATTTTCAAATACTCGGGTTTTTGCCAAGGGTTTGCTATTGATTTTCCTCTTTCTAGTTTCATTATTTATGTCGCCAAAAGACAGTTTCCTAAGCCAACCCTAACAATTTCCCATATAATGTAGGCATATTTACAAAAAAAAAATTCAGAAACTCTAAATTGTTGGTAAACTTCCTGATCAAATTTAAAGAATGTGTAAGTATAAGTTGAAGGGGTGTAAAAGCTCTTGCTAATCATAGCTTTAAATTTTTAATTTAATTTCAATTTTTAATTAAAAAACCAAATTACTTACTCTTTTCAATAGATAAAAGTTCAATTTTATCATCTTTGTGTGTTGCAATCATGACATCCTTCTCGACTCTAAGCAAAACTATCGCATATGCACAGGCAGCTTCCAAAAGTGAAAGCACCTTGTTTCCAATACATAATTCCTCTTTGGCATTCGATGCTACGTCAATTGTCACCAAGAATCTATTGAAAAATACAAAAGAAGAAATATTAAAAATGGATAAAAGTTCATCTACCTTTTGTTGGTCGGTGAGACATTGCTGCAAGCCAATTCGAAGCATTTATTTAATATTTTCAAAATTTCAGCTTTCTTAACTCTTGTTCTAGTTTGAACTTTTTCAAGTTCTGCTGATCCGAGCTTTTTTTCGTTTTGCAAATAGTTCAATAATTTTATATTTATTGGCCTAAAACAATAATACCAATAGAAAAAAATACAAAATAATTCAATCACATACTTTCCGCCCTTTTCAAGTCTTTTCATATAAGTAAAAACTTCTATAGGATGAATTTTGCTTGCTTTAACTTTTTCTGGGCTGGTGAGTAGGTCACTCAGATGATTTCTTATTGTTGTTTCCGGTTTTATTAAATGCAGTTTGTGAAGTTTTTCTATGCAAGGCAGTATTTGTTGAATAGACATGTTTTGAATAGCTGCACTCCATACCTAATTATTTATCAATTAAAACACAATCTGTTGGATTAAAAAATAATACTACCTCAGCATTTTCATGCAATCTAGATGACACTTGATTCATTGTAAATTTATGAGTTGTTAAAATGGGAACTGCCTCAACTACTTCATTGGTCCTTTTCAGTTTATCTGATTTTAATATAATGTCTAAAACTTCGAGTTCTTCGTCTGTGGCCTTGTCGCTTAGTTTTTTGTTTAAAATATAGTTTACAACAACATTTTTTACTAGAATAGATATGATAATAAAATTAGTATGACGGTTATAGAAAAAAAATATTTGATACTTACAAGGTGTATCCGATTTAAAATGTGCCAATTTTATCAAATCTTTATGAGTCCATGTGTGCATCTTATTGCAACTAGCGACAGATTGAGCAAGTTCCAAAGGACTTTTTTTTGTATAGTACTTTCTAACAAGTTTTTCAATGGAAGAAGGCATTTTACTTTTAGGTTTCCTTTCAGTGTAATATTTGATAAACATAAAAAACTCTTCATCACTCTGACACAGTTCAAGAACTTTTGCAGTTATTTTACTTTTTTGTTCCGGTTTAATTTGCTCCAAAATTGCTAAATTTGCCAAAATAAAAAATAGATTTGATCTTCTTGGTAGATGATTATCTTTGTTAGCTGCATCCAATATTGAAAATATTTCATTTAAATCATTTTTGATAGCATCGATGCATGCTTCTATGCTACTTCGCCCTAGATTTTTTTGGTATACATCTGGATCTCCGACAATAAACTGAGGATCAGCACTGTTCAAGTAAATCAGTCGCTTTAGCCTATCTTCTAAACTTTGAGAAGAGGTCATGACTAGAAAAAACAAAGTCTTTGTTACTAAAAACTAGAAGGTTGTTAATTTATTACGTAAACTGATTAGAAATAAAATGCAAATTGGTTCACTGCATATGGATGAATCATCATAGAAAAGAAACTGCATGGAGTGCATTTATTAGTTTATAGAGCATGCCATCAATCAAAGCAACATCTAGTCACTAAAGCTTTTTATAGTCTTAAGGAATTTTATGATCATGTGTGTTAGGTAGAGGATCGAATTGGAAAATAGGATATAATTTTTATAGGTTTTCGTACATGTTGAGTTATAGAATACAATGCGCTGAGTGCGTCTTGGCCTTCCCTTCACAAAACAGTCATAAAAATTTTTGAATTTTCAAAAAGTTTTTGGAATTATAGTTTGTTTTTTACTTTTACCACATAGATGATTTTCTCTTTGTTGTTTGTTTTTTATATCGTTTGTTTTTTATTTTATTTTTATACTGACGACTAAAAAGTTAAATTTTATTTATTTATTTATTTATATTTATTCTGTTTTTTTTTTCTCGTAAAGTTCTTATTTATGTTTGTTAACCTAATTTGCACCATAAGTTTATAGTTTGAACTAGTGATTTGATTTGTGATTTTTGTCTTTTTTAAGGTTCATAATTGTGGTGAAGATTTGACTTAATTTATTTAGAATTAATTAGTAATAAGAATTTTGCTTTGTCAATGAAAAACAATGGTATTTTTTGGACAATAAAGCTCATTTTGATTTGATTTGATTTGTAAGAATACGATTTTATTTATTGGTGAATTATTGGGAGTGAATAAGAAAAATTAATATAAATTTCGTTATGGAAGTTTTTTTTTTTTTAATAATGTTTTATTTCAGACCTCTAATCAGTAACAATAAAGAAACTGGCACCGAGGCCTTAGTTTAAATTTCTATGAGCAGATAACAAAATTATAAAAATTTATATTATTCACTATTCAGTCTCTGCTTTTAAATAAGTTTTGAGGTTACGACTCACAACTTTTTCATCCCCATCGAATATAGTTTCGGGCAACTTGTTGTAGGTTTGAATACTTTTTGATATGGGAGAATCCTGTGCTTTTTTTGTTCTGGAATATTTAGCTCTCAAGTTATTTTTCGTTCTTATGTTGTAATTATGAATATCTTCGTTTAGTTGTAATTCCACATTAGTTTTTATGAGCTTATTTTTTATTTTATAGATAAGTTTAGCCTGCTCAAGAGTTCTTAAAGCTTCAATTTTCAAAAATGGGTATTGTTTATACATATATGATTTCACTAGCTGTATAATAGTTCATCGAAAATATGGTTTTTATAGCTTTATTCTGTAGTCTCTGTAATTTTTGCAACAGATAGCCACTTGCATTTCCATAACACACTATCAAGTATCTCAAGTGGGGTTCTATAAAACTCGAGATAAAACTGTTGTATAATAAGTGTTTAGTCTTATGGGTTAACATGTGGTTGCATCTCTTAATTCCACCCAGGACTGGTGCTATTCTGTTTACTACATTTTCGATGTGTGTAGTCCATGAAAGATTTTCGTTTATTATTAATCCCAAATATCTGTACTCTTTAACTCTTTTCAATACTTTATTATTCAATTGTATTTCTGGATTTATTTGTTTTTTGTTACTTTGACTTAATAGCATGTATACGGTTTTTTCGACATTTAATTTATTTTTTAATTTTAATTTATTTGTTTATTGTCTAACAGGATAAACCCAATAACAAGACAATTATAATAATTTCAAATTAAAGACTAGACAAATGTTATTGTAAACTTAAAACTAGGTTTTGACATATGCTTCATATACAAATACATGAAGTAACTAACTATAGTTTGTAATTAACAATCAAGAGAAAACAGATGTAAATTAAGTATATTAAGCAGCATCAACAGCTTCCCCCAGCAAAACCCCAGGACAAGAAGTTAACCCCAAGCTAATCAGCAATATTCCACAAAAATGCAAGATTCAATAATCAATCAAAACAATCACTAGAGCAATTTAATTCAGGAGAGCATTTTTTATCTGTGATATAATTTTAGTTTTAAATGACTTTACAGTACCATTGAAAAGATCCAACTCAAGTACAATGGGTATTAATTGATTATGCCATGAGCAGGCTCTATATATAGGCGCATTTCTGGCGAGATTAGTATGACAGTTTTCCAGATAAAATTTATGGTGAGTTCGGGTGTTTGCTGCGGGAACCAAAAAATTGAGGCAACTTAATATTTCAGCCGAATCAATTAAATTATTGCATATTTTGAAAATGAACAATTGACTGGCAAGAATTGTACTTTGCTTAAGTGATAAAAAGTTAAATCTTTCTAGTAATAATTTGTGGTCATATCCCCGTGGAGGGTAAATGCCATCCTGCTTAAAGCTTAGGTACTTGAGAAATCTGCGCTGGACATATTCGAGCCTGTCAACATGTACATCATAACTAGGAAACCATATCAGAGCTGCATATTGTAATTTTGATTTTATCAATGAGTTGTACAAGGCAATCAAGCTCTCCGTATTTGTGAAATCTTTTGTAGACCTAATAATAAAGCCAAGTGTTTTCAAAGAAGCTTGAACGATTTGGTCAATATGTTTATTAAAGCTTAGTTTACTGTCGATAATTACCCCAAGGTCTCGTATGGAATCTACACTTGAAAGATTGGTATTTTCAAGTCTATATGCAAACTTCACTTCATTATGAAGTTTGGAAATAGTCATAGAACGGCATTTATTAATATTTAGCGGAAGTTTATTTGTGATACACCAAGAAGACAGGGAGTCAATGTCGTTTTGTAATTCTGAGCAGTCCTGTATGGTGTTAATAATTCTAAAAATCTTCAGATCATCAGCAAACAGTACACAGTTAGATGAGATAGTGTCGGTGATATCATTCACAAAAATAGCGAATATTAGAGGAGCTAGATTGCTTCCCTGAGGAGCGCCACTTGAAGCGCTGAAATCAGCAGAAAGAAAACCGTTGTACTCCACAAACTGTGTTCGCCCACTCAAATATGAGATAAATAGATTTACCAGGTTCCTATGAAATCCAATGTTGTACATTTTCCGGGCAATGAGACCATGATCCAACTTATCGAAGGCCTTGGAAAAGTCAGTATATATGACGTCAAGTTGTTTCCTATTATTGATAGCTTGATAAGCTCTTTGTAGGAAACTTGTAAGATTTGTGATAGTTGATCTCTGTGGGAAGAAGCCATGTTGAGTAGGAGATATTAGGTTTTTAACTTGATGGAAGAGATTGTTGTGAATACAGATTTCAAAGGCCTTCGAAAAGTTGGACAGTATGGAGATAGGTCGATAGTTAGTGATATTATTATTTTGACCTGCCTTAAAGACAGGACAAATCTTAGTTTTTTTCCATTTTTCCGGAAATATATTATTTCTTAAAATTTTATTGAAGATGATGAGACATTTATGCTAAGTTTATTATAGCACAACCAGCTAAAATATCTATCAAGATCACGGTTTACTATTTCCTCGAGCTCTTCTTCACTCGTTCCAGAGAACATGAGCACTGTGTCATCACAGAACTTGGCATATTTTGCTGCAAGTCCTGCATACTTCAAGTTATGTACCATCGTCACTAAAAGTATCTGGGACACAAATAATGCATAAAAATCTCCTGGACTAATTCTACTGTCATTCATTCCAATGCATTTAATGCATGGTTTGACAAATATTTGACAATAAAATTCATATAATAGGACAAGAGCTAATGTGATGCTGTCCCAGTTACTTTTGGTGACGATGGTACATATAATAGTATATTACAATCCGAGACGGGAAATTAGCTATTACTGTCGAGACAGTAATTAAATTTCCTGTCGAGCATAGTATACTATTTTATTTTTAACCATAATTTTTGCTAATTTAAATTAGAAATGAAATTGAATGTGAACGTAGGTTCATGCTATTTGCTTTAATTTTATGTCATTGTCATCAATTTTGAAAAAAATTTGACAATACCTGCCACATAAATATAATGAAACGAGGACGGGAAGTGAGGACGGGAAATGGGGACGGGAAGTGGAGCAGGGAAATGAAAAGACAGTAAAGTGACATTTCCAAATTTTTAAAAAGACTGTAATGTCAACATTACATATATGGTTAAAAATAAAAGATATTCTACAGGACCAAGTACAGAACCCTGAGCAGTGTTACCAGATTGGGGGATTTTCCCCCAAATTTGGGGGATTTTCAAGTGGATGGGGGAAAATCTGGGGGATAGTTTTTTCTGGGGGATTTTTCGGGGGTAAGAATTGTAAGAATTTTCGCTATTGGGGGAAATCGGGTATATGTATTTCAATGAATAAAACTAAAGTAAAAAATGTATTAAAACAACTGCGCCATCTATTTTTTCAATCAAGTACCAATAAAAAAGATACAGTTTGCTTCTTCTCAGGATGAACGCAAACGCTCAGTTCTAGATCTATTTTAATTTGGAATGACAAATGACAATTGACTTGACAAATCGGATCGGGGGAATCCCCAACGACCGACGTTGCTTGCATTGTTTATTTTTTATTTTGCGTTTTGCATTTCTTTGCGGTTATACTGCGTAGTGCTCTAAGTTGCTGTATTCTAAATTTTAATACAGCTTAATAATATAATAATAAACTATCCAAACTTCTTGGTACAACTGTACTTATCTGTTCTGTCACCAATCACAACATTTTATTTCATTTGTCATTTGTCAATTGTCATTTTATTTTTGGAATTAAAAAAATATAAACAAATAAAAAAGTGGTAAGGGTATGAGTTTTATTTTAAAATATTCAACGAATTTGTCTTTTTTTTTTTGCAAGTATGAGTCGAGAATAAATCTATATTTATTTGGATTTTAGTTGACAAAAAGTGATTTTTGGGGTATTTTTGAAATCTTTTGGGGGAAATTAGTTATAACCCTCTGGCAACCCTGACCCTGAGCAATGCCGACACTAACATTTGCTTCCTCACTTATTGTTCCATTAACTTCG